AAAAAAAAAAAAAAAAAAAAAGTTAAGGAGCTGGAGATTCCATTTCTAGTTAGGTAGGAAGACTGTAGCATTAAGTGAATCACTCAACTTTGCCCGTGGAACACCTACAAGATGGGGCTATGGCAAGAAAAAAATCCTCAGTTTCATTATGGTAAAGCACTAAAGATCAGTTCCATTAGTATGAATGTAAAACAATATACATTACTGTCTCAGACAATCAGACACGTATTGAGTACCTGCCTATTAACTATAAGACTCTGGGAAGGGGAGCAAAATATTCAGGAGGGCAGGCTATTCAGTGCTAGTTAGGAGTCACCTAATGAATGAATGAGAGACTCAGTTTCTATCTTTATCTACGTACAAAGTGCATATCCTACTTCTCAACCAGAGCACATGTGTTTTGAGTGCATGGCTTATACTTCTGTATGTTCTTAATGTTGCCCAAGAGAAGGACTTGCATTTAGTAGAAGTCCTAGAGAAGGGCTTGTTTGTGGACTCACTTTTACGTTTTAAAAAAATTTTACAACATTTCAAGCAGAATAAATACCAGAAAAGTAGAGGGAAGACAGAAGGAAGTAATTCCTTTTGCGCTGAAAGACCTTGGAAAGTCGCAGTCCTTTTTTTTTTTGAGACAGAGTCTCACTCTGTTGCCCGGGCTAGAGTGCCGTGTGGCATCAGCCTCCCTCACAGCAACCTCAAATTCCTGGGCTCAAGCGATCCTCCTGCCTCAGCCTCCCAAGTAGCTGGGACTACAGGCATGCGCCACCATGCCCAGCTCATTTTTTTCTATATATTTTTAGTTGGCCAATTAATTCTTTTCTAATTTTACTAGAGACAGGGTCTCACTCTTGCTTAGGCTGGCCTCTAACTCCTGACCTCGAGCGATCCTCCCGCCTCGGCCTCCCAGAGTGTGCTAGCGTTGCAGGCATGAGCCACCGTGCTTGGCCTATTTCTTTATGTTATTAATATTGCCCAAGAGCAGGATTTGCATTTAGTAGAAGTCCTAGAGAAGGGCTTGTTTGTGGATTCACTTTTCCGTTTTAAAAAAAATTTTTTTACAACATTTCAAGCAGTATAAATGCCAGAAAAGTAGAGGGGAGACAGGAGGAAGGAATTTCTTTGGGGCTGACAGACCTTGGAAAGTCCTATTCCTTTTGTAGCACAAAATTCCACAAGGATGGAGTTATGAACTGTGATAAAAAATGTTTTGTCACTGGGTTAGGGCGACTCACGGAAGCGGTCTTTTTCACTTCATGAACCTCACCGTCGCGCAGCGGAGGGAACCTCAGCCTCCAGTCCCACCGCGAGCGTCGTCTGTTTGCTTGCTTTGAATATTCGTTATCCTGCCCCAGCGCTTACCTGGCTGAGTTCCCCAGCCAACCGGTGGGGGATCCCGTCTTGGCAGATTACAGCCACTGAAGCTGATGCGGTTACGTGACAACCTTGATTTCTCCTCCCTGGCCAGCCTGTGGAGGCTCGTCTCTTTGTTTCTTCATCCTTTTACCATACCATGGTGGAAGACACAATACTCCGAAATTCCGCATTCACCAAACCTACCGCTATTTCCAACGGAGTTTCTGCGAATCTGTCCTGGATGTTGTATCATCGCGTGGTACGGTTTAACAAACGCACAGCGCCAGGCTCGCCTCACTCACTCGTGCTAAAGCCCATCGGTTAAGGCTGCAGTCTTGGTAACCTCTCAGCATTGTGGATCC